TTGAGCTCTTAAAGCACTCAATTTACCAAACCCTATATATTCACACTTAGTATTTGCCAGTATATTTTTACTTTATGGGCTTAGAAACTCGACATTGAAAACTTTATTTTAAAAAAACTCTCCATGATCCATTTACTCTTTAAATAATTGATGTAACATGACCAAGAGCAAAGATCACATACACAACATAAGCGCTGCTCTATCCCTGTGCTCATTTATTTGATAGTGACTGCTGAAGAGTTACATCAAAGCTGGTCCAAATCTGCCCCTTGCCCCAAACATGCCCTTCAGAGTGCATTTGTGATGAGAGTACCAACAATATTCAAACACAGTTCTTTATATTTTTAACCTGATTAACTTTCTTAGTTTCACATCATGTCTACAATCCTTAAATATTCATCACAAACACATTTTGACATCTCTCCTATCCTGACCTCCAATGTTCATCGACACCAGTCCTAATGGACCATATTAAATGGGAAAAATTACTTAAAGCAGTCTGATATTTGCCAGGTGGGAAAAGGTGAAAGCAAGCTGTGCAGCCTGTGAAAGGCAGCGTCTGATGAACATCACAGGAGAAGCAGCTGTAGGGACATTTTTATGCAGGTCTGTGAGCACAAAGAACGATTATCTAAACAGACTTTCTTTGCAGCACATTTTGAGCCAAGTACACTCTGCAAAATAAAGTAACAGCCTCAATATCATGTGTTAGATAAGCGAGTTAGTCACAAGTGTTGTTTCTTTCTTACTTTTTTTGTTCCAGTGAAAAAGTAGTGTTTTATATTTTATGATAATTATTTATTTAATAAAAAACAGCTCATTTTTAGACAGGATCAATCTATGCTCAGTAAATGCCACAGGATTTTATGATTGCTGTAAATAAACCTCTATTGAAGAAACCTCTTGACCCAGACGATCTAATAAATTAGACCAATATCTAATCTCCCATTCTTGTCTAAAGTCCTTGAGAAAATAGTTGCTAATCAAATATGTGAGCATCTAAATACTAACTATGTCAGGTTTTAGAGCTTATTATCACACTCAAAGAGCATTAGTGAAAGATTCAGATATGCTCATGGCCTCAGCCAATGATTTTATGTCTGTTGTAGTCTTGTTAGATCTCAGTGGTGTTTATGACAGTCCATCACAATATTCTCTTAGAAAGGCTCAAACATGTTGTAGGGATCAAAGGAACAGCGCTATCCATCCGACAGACTTACATGTAAATGAGGAATCTTCTGCCCACTCTGGGGTTACATTTGGTGTACCACAGGGTTCAGTGCTCGGACCATTTAGTTTAAAATTTTCTAAGTTTATTTGTACAATTTTTACTTATTGGTAAACATCACCAGACAGCATGGGATAAAGTTCCACTGTTCTGCCAACGATACTCAATTATATTTATCAATAAACCCCGATGAACCTAACCAGTTAGATTACAGGCTCGTCTTGAAGACATAAAAAAAATCTGGATTAGACTAAACTTTCTGCTGTTGAATCCAAACAAGACTGAATTTGTAATCTTTGGACCAGAACCTCTGAAAAAGAAAATACTGAACAGCCTTATGCTGGAATCAGGGATAAACATCCTGTGGAGGAGTGAAGCAGAAAATCAGCATTTATTGCTTTAAGATTGAATTGCTGTGATTTTTTACTAATTAGAAATTCACAGGATGTATTTAAAAGTTCAGCTAATCCAAAATGCTGCAGCTAGAGTTCTGATGAAAATTAAAGAGAGATTTCATCTCCTGCTTTAGCTTCACTACGGTGATTCCCTGTTAAATTCAGAATAGACAGAATTGTGACTGATTGGAGGCACATTTTTGTTGAACAGAAATTTCTTTTTTCTTTAGTAAAAACAGCATAACTAAGATCTTTACCAATCTTCCTTCAGAGTAAATAGTTTAGTTATTGACATCCTTGCATTGATGAAAACCTGTCCTCTCAGTTTGGTACGGAAAGAGTTAAGTCATCAGAGAAAAGCAACAGCAGGCCGTGATTGGTGGCAAAAGGTTCCTGAAAAGAACCTCCATGCATACAAGTGAAGGACAGGTGGTTTTCTCTCTGGGGATGGCTGCGGGAGCCTCATTCAGTGGTGAATGGGATTGGGCCGAACGTGATTGAATGGGCTCAAGTGGAGCCTGATGGTGGCAATGTGTGTGTGGGAGAAACATTAGGCTGGTTTATGCGCTCCACCAGTCGCTTTGATCAATAGCACTGATTGCTCCAATATTATCATCTCTCACACACAGAGACACACTTCACAGAAAAAGTTTATAGTTGTGTAGAGGGCGATCTTAATCACCATCTCACTTTAGTGAGAGCAGATGTGTGCCAGTGTGTGTGTGTGTGTGTGTGTGTGTGTGTGTGTGTGTGTGTGTGTGTGTGTGTGTGTGTGTGTGTGTGGTTGATTGCTGATATCTTCAAACTGAGACCAGAAACGGAGACAAGATCAACTTTTTTCTTCTTACCACATGGATTATGGATGGGATATGGCCAGCTTGAAATGATTGGCTCTCTGTATGTTTACATAAGCTTTATTGTTGCACACTAGCAATAAATTAAAAAGCAATATATGTGTCATGCATCTAGGCAAAATAGGGGAGGAAGAAGAGTCAGCCGTGGTTGCAAAAGCTCCAGAGAGATTAATGTGGTTTAGAGTTTTAGCAGAAATATTAGAATCAATGAATCAGGGTTAATGGCAGAGGGAAAACACTTCAGAATGAATAATAACCACCAAGCAATTATGATGCAGCAAACAGAGAGAAAAGGTAAATTTATTGTAAACAGTTGAGGATTCAAACGTGTCACTGCAACCTGTTCTCAGACACCCGTGGTCATACTCTGGTGGATTTCTGTATCAAACATTGTATGAGCTCAGTTGTATGTAACACAAAAGTATTCAAAATTCCATAAATAAATAAGACATTATGAAATAAATATCTACTTGAAGAAATACTAGACAATTATGCAATCTGACAATGAAATGACAGAATGTTATGTAAAATCTAAGCTCAATATTATGAATATTTTTCATTCTTCTTTTAAAATGTCTTTATTAATATAAATTATTTTTCAAAAGTAATTTTTAATAATAATCCAAATTAATATTGAGCCATTTTTATTTAATTCATTCAGTTTTTATTACGTCTTTTTAACAACGACAGCTTTCATTTCATGTTAGTTTTTCCCATGGCAGATTTATTTCATAAGACTTTACAGCAGAATATCTAAAAAATACTTTATATTAATAAAGACATTTTAAAAGAAGAATGAAAAATATTTCATAATATTGAGCTTAGATTTTACATAACATTCTGTTATTTCATAATTTCATTGTCAGATGACAAGATTGTCTAGTATTTCTTCATGTTTATTTCATAATGTCTTATTTATTTATTGATTTTTGAATACTTTTGAGTTCCATGCAGTTGTGGTGGTAAAAATGAGCATGAATTAGAATATATATTAATGGATATACTGTATATAAAATGTTTTGAACAGGATTGCAAGCCTTCTCTTGGAAAAGCAAAGTCAACAAAACTGATCATGACAAAAAAAAAAATTGGTTTTCATGCCTGGATATGTGCAAAATATACTGAATTTGGAAAAAGAAACCCACTGCACCAAAAAGATGAAAAATAGTGAAAAATGGTTGCCATGTCCTATAGAAGACACATTAAATAAAATACACTCATTCTGTATTTCAAATGGATTTGGACCAAGTTCAGTTTTGTGAAAAATATCCATTTTAGCACAGGAAACTTAAAACTTCTGGGTAACAATTTCTGCACAGAGGAACAAGGTGAAAAACCTTTTTGTAAAATTGTCATGAAAATGGTGAAAATCAGCTTATAGAGGCTAATTGCCCTGTGTTTTGAAGACGATTTACACTGTACTGTTACTTTGGAGATTCGAAGTTTGTTCCCCCTCTGAGCCAGAAATCAATATATTTTCCTGTTTTCGGCAGATTAGGTTTAGGGTATTGAAAAGATGATGGTTTAGGTAGGGAAATCATTCAGGCTGCCCTGAATACAGCCTATATTATAACACCCACCACAAAAAGAGCAATCTCCTTTTCTTGCTTACTGACTGTTGAGACCTTGTTTCTCTCAAAATGAGATACAGACACAAAGAAAAAGGAGATATCCGAACAGATCCAGTGATTCCAGTTAACAGACCTAGCTAACAATGTTTATTGGATTTTCTTATAAAATCAACAATGGTCACATACAATTGCTGGATCTGTGTGGAGTTTGCATGTCCTCTCTGTTTGTGAGTATGTTTTCTCTGCGTGCTCTGGTGTCCTCCCATCGGCCATAATCATGCATGTCAAACTGATTGAAGACTGAATTGCCACTAGGTGTGAGTGCGTATGGGCCTGCTTGTCCGTCTCTTATGTGTTCCTTTGATGGACAAGCGACCTGATCAGGGTGTCCCCCGCCTCTCGCCCCATGACTGCTGGAGATAAACACCAGCTCCCCATGACTCTAGTGAGAATTAAGTGATTCAAATTATGCATGAATGAATGAACTGAATGATTCAGTAAGGTTCAGATACATATGGGACTAGAAGATGTGACACTTTTTTAACTTGGTGCACAAACCAGAACAGACACATTCATGCCCTTTCAGCTAATTTGTAAGCACAATGGTCTTCCACTATACAGCACAATCTCTGAATCTACTATATATGTAGCAAGGATTGTCAGGTTCCACATTCAAATGCACAAAAGCAGTGCTTTAAACATGCTTTAAATAGCAATGTTTACAAATAAGAAGAAATGGGATATTTGTAAACTATGGTAAATGCTATGCAATCTTTTGATTTGAAATTTTGATAAGCTGATAACATGTGGGGGCTTGTCCAGGATCTGAATGTGGGGCCATTTGTACTCTAACAAGTGTCATATGGATGGATGCAGTTAAAATATCTTCATCCCAGAGAACTTTGGTCACCATGTTGCCATAACTTGCATCCATAAATTATGATTTACTCACCCAAATGTTTCCATCTTGGTTGTACGGCTTCCAATTCCTTCCTGTATCACTATAAAGGAGACGGTACTGCGTCGTCCAGTCAGAACTGCTGTAGCGACCTTGAGTTGCTATGGCGCTGACCTGCTTTCGGGAACCGAGGTCCACTTGCAGCCACTGGTAGTGGTCACTGTCCAAAGGTGACCATCCACCAGCTCCTGCAGGGTCAGTAACATTTTATAATGAGAGGCACATCAAAAGTTAATTTGCTCAAAATATTATTTTACAGTACAATAGCTTCCCCCCCCCAGGTTAAATAAATAAATACTGGCAAAGAGGAAATGAGGACAGATGCTCTTTAGGTCACACAAGCTCTCCAGTCCAGGACAACAAAGGCACAGCATGGTACTGCTATAATGATGCTTTACAAAGAGAATACATAGTCCTAAAGGCATGGTCTGTCCTACTGTCGATGGTCAGTGTCCAGAAATGTATTTGCTGTAAAATCGTTGTAGTCACAACAGAGGCAAACTCAGCGAACTTTTAACATTACAGCCAGAATGCATTTTTACTTTATTACTATAGATTACTTGTTTTGCCTAATAAACATAAGGTGAGTAATTCATGGTTGTAAGACTGTTATACTGAGTTCTGATTAAGTCTATTTTTAATAAAAATGGAATACAATAAACAAACATTTTTTATATTATATTCAATAACAAATGACATTTTAGAAATCGTCTCTGAATATTTTTACTTCCTTGGTTCCTTTTTGGAAAGTTTCAATTATATTTTGACATTTTTCTGAGCTAAAGGTTGTGATCTCAGAGCATAGATGTGCTGAAGTAACAAATAAAGTTATACCAAGGGAAAAACATTGTTTTGAAGTGAAGGAGCATCTCTGAAAACATGAAAGAATAATCCTGCTGTGACATTTTCCAGTGGCGACTGCTGGGAAAGATTTAGGCTGATTTTGTTTCCTAATCCACTCTGCAGGAGTCTGTATACCTGCGATAGCTTTATAGTGACAGCAAGACAAACTCTTGTGTGTCGCCTAGAACTCGCACAATTCACAACTCCTGTTGTCTCCCTGAGGTGAATCCTGACTCTGCCAGAGCTTACAGGTTAACTGAGCTTCAGGGTAAATGGTGCTGAAACAAAAGAAAATAAGCAATCGCAAGACAGAAGGGAGAATGAAAGGGTGGGAAAGGAGTCCAGTGACCCAGATTCCACGTGTCAATTCAAAAATGAGAGTGCATGTTAGCTACAAGCAGCGCAGTCAAGCTGTGGAATCCACAAAACTCCCCAAAACTGATTCAGGGTTAAAAAAACAAAAACAACTCACACACTGGACACTTAAGAGCAAAACGTACAGAAAATAGCTGAGTGGGGGACAGCAACATGATTATCAGAAGGCACTGAGGTGGGAGGACTGGGAACTGGTCATGTTCACAGCTGCTCACTCTTTTTAAAAGATGTTTGGTGGCAAACTGAACAAGTGGAGAATGAGAAGTTTTATACCTAAAAAGATAAATAAAAACAATATTTGGAAACGATGTTAAGAACGTGGCCGTGGCTGTAATACACTTTAACTCCTTCAATGTCAATGATGACTATGGCCGTCGTTTGCATTTGTTTTACTGTGTGGGCATCGGAACGAGCCCCTGTACCGCGAGAACAAGCAACTCAGCTCTAAAGCCGATCTTCATCCGCATACGTCACACGTCACGTGATCAGGAAGCAGAAAATCAATGTGTTAGAGATTGTTTTGGGCTGCTACTGTAAAAAAAAAGTGAGGTGCAAACCGGAAAAGCTTCTGCCGATCACAATTCAGCAACGGATTATGAAAGAACGGATAAAGCTCGAAACGCGCGGATGTAAGAGGTGAGTCTTCGCTTTGTTTTGGTTGTTTTGGCGTCGACATCAACCTAGCGCACAACGTTCTGTGACCCTTAAAAAAGCAGCAAAGATGGTGAGAAACGCTGGCAGCGAAGGACTTTACTTATCAGGAAACGGCTGTCAGCGAATATTTATGTTTATGTTTATTTATTTGCACAATAAAATATGCATCATGAACATGACAATAACAAATAGATTAAAAAATACAGTGAAGGAGGAGGCAAAAAGCCTGATTCAGCTTACATAAAGCCTCCACCTATAGTTCTTAATCAAATAAAATTTGCAAGTACTAAGTGATATAAAACATAGCAAAATACAAAGGCATGAACAAGTAAACGAAAAGTGGATTAGTACATAAAAATGTAAATAAAAATATCACAAGACCATTAAATACCTTAAAACAGGATATACCAACTAGATAAAATAAAAAGTTACTAAACATGCTCTCCCTTTATTAGATGGATTTTAGCTGCTTTTTAAAAACTTCCACAAAAGAGCACTGTCTTTCCAAATGAGAAAAACGGTTCCATAGAATTGAATCCCTAAAACGGATGGAAAATTGTCCTAGACAAGAAAGATATTTCGGGGGATGAAGACACATCAACTGTAGTGTATTATGTGAACGAAAGAGTGAATTAGCTCAAAAGAAAGTTTTAAACTGTTTGGGTATTTTATCATTTGTCCACAAATCATATAAATGAAGACACAAATTTGATGAATATTCAATTCATAGACAGTATATTTAGCCTCTGAAACAAAGGAACTGAAAATGCATGTAGTTCAGATCTAGTTGCTATTCTGACAAAGCGTTTCTGAAGAAGTACAACTTTGTTAAGAGTAGTAGGGAATGTGCTACGCCAGATCATGTTACAGTATGCAAGATACACTAGACTATAGTACAATATTTGAAGACATTTTGTAGAGACAAGAGGGCTCACTGTCCTTATTATACCAATTGATTTACTGATTATTTTACTAACATATTCAACTTGCATTTTCCAATTTAATTTCTCGTCAACAATAACTACCAAAAGTTTGACAAATGAAACCTGTGGTGGTTCAGTAGCTTAAATTTTTATTTGATTTACACCTATATTGTTTTGCTTTTTTCCACTAAATATAATAAAATGAGATTTACTGATATTTAAAGATAATTTAGTCAATTTGAACCATGTGTTATAGGCAGCTAATCCATAATTGACCTTCTCAATCAATATTTCAAAATGTGGATGTGATACCACTAGAGTTGTGTCATCTGCAAACTTAATTGGTGATAGTGTGACAGGGACATTAAATATATCATTATATAAATAACGAACAACAGAGGACCCAAAATAGAACCCTGTGGTACCCCACAATCAAGCTTAGCTCTGTTAGAAAAACATGCTTTAGCTGAAAAATGTTGGGTTCTGGTTAACCGTTTGTGAGTAGTATGTCTAAAACTGTATTTGTGCAATTTAGCTAAAAGTATTTTATGATTTACAGTGTTGAAGGCTTTAGATAAGTCTAAAAAAACACTGCAAGTGAATTCATTGTTTTCCAGGACAGTTGAAATTTTGTTGGTCAGGTTGAGTAAAGCCATATAGGTGGGGTGATTTTTACAAAAGCCATATTGGTAATCATTAATAATTGCATTGCTATCTAAATGATTAATTGTTCTAATAAAAACTTTTTTTTCCCAGAATTTTTGAAAAGCATGACAAAATAGAAATGGGTCTACAGTTAGAAAAATTAGATGGATCTCCTGCTTTAAACACGGGGACAACTTTGGCAATTTTTTGTTCATCTGGTACAAAACCTGTTTGAAGAGACAAAGAAAAGATATAAAGGATTGGTTCTAAAATAAAGCGTTTGACCTGCTTAATAAGAAATACTGATATGTTATCGAGCCCAGCTGCAATGTTTTTAATTGGCCAATGTCATCACTTAATTCCTGCCGATCAAGGGGTCTAAAGGATGACATAATAGGGAATGAACCTTTGATGAAATCCAAATGATTACCCTCACAACTTGGAATTTCATTAGCTAGTTTTTCCCCAATACCTACAAAACATTATTAAAATTTTCAGCTATATCAAAAGGATTATTCATAGAAACTTTACCACCTTCAAAGACAGATGGTATTTCTGAGGAAACTCTGTCTCTTTGAAGAATCCTATTAATAACTTTCCAAGTAGATTTTATATCATTTTAACAATTAAAAAATTTCTTGCTAAAATAGTTTTTTTCATATCTAATAGAATTAGTGTATTTATGTCTGATTAATTTATACGCAGCGTGATTAATCGGAGTAGGATTTGAAATATACTTTTTATATAGTTTATTTTTTTCTTTAATAGCTTCATCAAGGCAGATGTATACCACTCCCTATCAAATGCTTGCTTACCTTTTTTAGCAGCTCTAGTCAAAGGAAAACATTTATCAAAACAGTCAGAAATAACTGCCATGAACTTGTGATATGCACGATCGGCATTATTCTCCTTATACACTTCCCCCCCCCAGGAGGTGCCAGCCAACATATCTTTAAACTCACTAAAGTTTTGCTTGCTCATATTTCTGTTAAATAATATGTTCTTTGTATTTCTAATCTTCTTTTCATCTAAATCAGAAAATTGAATGAGTTAATGTTGCTTGCTAAGCGACAAATGAACAAAGCAATTGCTCTAAAGATGACTGGGCACAAAACATGTGAAATAAAATCCAATGAAAGACTGTTGAAGGGCCAGAAAGCCTAGGAGACCATTTTAAATTGGTGTAAGACAAATCTGGATCGGTGAATGCTTTGCTAAATGACCTCATATACTACTGAAGATGTGTCAGTGATAGGTTAAAGCGGTGTTTCTCAACCCTGGTCCACAGTGCCCCCTGTCCTGCATGTTTTCCATGTCTCTGCACAAGTGTTGCAGAAGCCTTTTCATCATTCATTTAAGTCAGGTGTGCGGCAGCAGAGAAACAATGCTGTTGGAAATGGCAACATAGAAAGCATGCAGGACAGGGGGGCACTGAGGATGTGGGTAGAGAAAGGCTGGGTTAAAGGGACATATTGTGACTATTTTTTTTCTTAAATTATAATAAATCCATGGTCAGAATATGCTTTTGGCAGTTGTATTCTTGAAAGTTTCCGTACCTTCCAGAATGAGCCCTTACAGGGCTTAAAGAGCAAGTCATCCCCTACAAGAAACTTTACTCCCACTTCATGTTTGAAAAATACAACAAATGCTGTTGAAATAGGCTCACAACGACATTGTGACATCATAATGTACCAGGTAACGTCATTGTGCACCTCAGAGCCAATGGCGGTGGCAGATTTAAATTCAAA